GTATAAATTCTTTTTATTAATCAACAGGAAACCACATAAAAAGAAGGTTCCAATCGGATAATTTATCCTTAATAGTTTATTATAAATTTTTAAAATGATCATATTAATTATCTTATTTTAGTAACACCATACTTTTAAATATTGTCAAGAATTCATGATGTTAACTTATGTTAACAACAAATCAAGTTCTTTTCATAGTACAGGTGTTGGTTATACTATACAGTAGGCTATAAAAGTATCATGTATTTGTTGTACCAAAGGTTGTACAACATAAATCTAAATTAATCATTTAACAAATAAGGTATTAAGAATTAGTAAAATAAAAAGATAAGACATGCTAATAACAAACTTTCTTAGATATAAACATTGAAATTCATATTGAGTTTATATTATACATATTCTAACACCATTAGTGAAAATTTTTCACCTTGACATAATAAACTTAGCTAAACATTACGAAGAAGAAAAATATAAATAAACTAGATAAGAATATAGTTATGATGAAAAGCATAAACAAGATATTAATAAAAGCAAAACTTAAACATTACAAAAATACAAAGAAAGAAAGTAAGAATATGATCTTAATATGAAAACCAAGATGTCTAAATGTATGACAAATGCCTCCTTTCATAGGCTAAAATTCAAAACTATTGATTTGATGACTAATTATTGAGTGGATGACCACATTTTGACTTAGTGACAACTATTATCTTTTTGTATAAACAAAACATCATTGCTAACATAAGAATTTCAACAAATAATCTTCATGAAAGTTTTGAAAATTTATCTCATCTTTCTAAAAAAACAAAAATGAGCTCATTTAGACTTCTAGAACTTGAGATATAGGTTGAAAAATGAACAGTGTCTAGGTTGTAAGACAAATTCTAACTTCTCTTTTATTACTATAATTTAAACTTGAAATCAACCCTTTTGAATCTTGGTCTTTCATTAATATTTTAGACCTATGTATTAGCTTTCCATCCATATAAATCAGACCTAAATCCATGTCCTACATCTTCAGTTATGATATAATAACCGAATGATGTTCCAGTTATTGAACTAACATCTTCTTTAAACTTTACCCTCTCTTTGTCTTTTTACTTTCAATAGTTAAACACATCAATCAAGTCTTTAAATTGTGAGATGTGCCTACATTCAAAATGAGTATTTACTATAAATTAAATATATCTTATGTTATCAAACTTGTTATTATAAAACATGCTTGCGTTAGGAAATTTAATGATACTTTAAGTGCAATATGATGATATAAAACCTAAATAAAAATATACTTTGATGTACTAACCACTTAGGCATCCACATTCATGCTTGTCAAATTCTAGCTAAAATGGAAGTACTAACCACTTAGGCATCCATATTCATGCTTGTCAAATTCTAGCTAAAATGGTTTAAAAACTACTTGAGCTATCTCTTTAAAAGTTACTATCACATCCACACTTTTTAAAATAAAGAGTTATGCATTTTTGACAAAAATAATTGAAATTCAAATACCATAACAAATATACTTCAGCAGGCATAACATTAAGGTGACTCGCCTAAATATCTTTCATCCATATTCATAATAAATTGCAACTTCAAGTTTGTTTCTTGAGAGTTGTTATTTCATTTTTCAACTTTTTCCTAAGCTATAAATTTATTAAAGAAGTGCATCAACAAATGTTATAACAAGAGTAGCCATGCTTAGTTCCAAAAACTATGTTATCTTTTATATGTAGCATAATGAAAAGAACTGGTTTATATATATATATCTTGCAATAAGTATAGGATTTTCATGTTAAGGGAAGTAAATACAACAAGAGAACCAGTATTTGAATCATAAATATTTGTCATGTTGAGTCTCATGAAACATATATACATAGTGAAAATGGTAAATTTAATGATTTTGTAGGGATTTCAATATCATGTTAAATAAATCTAGGGTTATTTAGGGTTTAAACAGAGATTACTTGGAAATAAAATGTTCTTTTCGGTTTTAAATAATTACTTCAAGATAAAATTATTACAAATCACAAATCATCCAAATGTTTAGCTTTTAACGGTAATTCACAAGAAACAACCATAGAAATCTCTTAAACTCTTTTAGAAGAGAAAGATTGTTATATATTTAAGTGCTAACTATTTTCTTTTATATTTTTTAGGTGTTATGTACTGTATTGTGTACTACTAAAAAAATAAGAGGTATAACATTCTATTTTTGAGAAATCTGAAAACCTTATAAATGAATATATATATATATATATATCAATTTTGCCCTTGAATAATATCACATATATTATTTCAATATAATTTTAAAAAATTTATTTAATCAAATCCCTACTTAATTTTTCTAGGTTTAGAATTGTAATTCTCTATATAAATTATATTATAGTTCTCAATTTTTAAAACTTATTTACAATTAAATTACACTCAATTAATCATCTCAGTTTAATTTTTAACCATTAGTTTTTATATGTGTGACACATTAGATTGTTGTTCTATGATTAAGACAACAATAACACTTAATGGGAGGTGAATTAGGTGTTCCACTAATAATAATAAATATTGCAATTAACTCATTTGAACACAACAAATACAATTAACCAACAATATAATTAAAGTTCTTAAAGTAAAGAGTATAGGGATAGAAATTTTAAACTCAGTTTAATTTCTAATCTATATTCATACCTTAAACACCAAATCAATCTTGAGTGTTGTATTCTTTACTAATCCAAGTCAAAGATTAAAATGTCATTGATGAATCATCACCAAGCCATTTTTCACCACTTGAAAAAATATTATATTCAAGATTTTTTTATCTTGGTGATGTACCTCACCAATAAGCAAGAGTTTTTCACTTAAACCCTTGAAGAATTAAAATTATTTGAAATGTAGCAACGCTTTCTCAAATAGTAGATGATACAATCAAAGCTTGTATCTCTATAGATCACTCAATAACACTTAAAATATATGTGTTAAAGTGTAGTAAATGTAAGAATTTTTATTCATGTACAAGAATATGAAGGTTTTGATGCACAAATATGAGTATGATTGAAAATTGATGATTTGAATTTTTTTTGCTCTTAAAATAGCTTTTGTGTGCGCGCACTTGTGTATATATATTCAAATTTTATATTTTATTTTGCAATAAGACAAACTATATATATGTATCTTGCAAAAACTAACCATTTATAACTATTATTGTTCTTTTAACAAGTAAAATGGTCAACCGGTTTACATTGGTCAAGCTGATCGATTGACCAATTCGTACAAATTCTCATGTGTTCATTATTTATGAACAAGTTGTCAACCGGTTAATTTGGTATCATTAAAAAGTTGATCGGTTCATTTAGAATACTAGATATATTAGTTTTAATCCTAATAATTTTTTATAGTTGTTTTATCAATCCTTTTTAAATGCATGCAAAATAAAGTTTGTGCATTCATTTTAATTTGTCTATCAAGTATGATATAAATATTTACATTTAAGCACTAAAATAAATACTTAAAAATTAAGTTTTCACTTACTTTGTATCTTTGATTTGTTGATTGATTTTTTCATTCAGTACCTCATACATGTTAATGTTATCTTCATATAAATTTGTTTAAACTTAATTTCATCCAAGCATATCATTAGTCCATTTCTATATAATTGTTATCATTAAAATATATAAAATATTAATATGTGACCCAAAGGTCAACACAAGGAAAATATTGTAGATCTACTAACCAAAAATTTGTTGAGAGAGCTTGTGTATCATTAATCAAAGGGAATAGGCTTAAAGCTTTTAAATGATGGTAACCATACCTAGTTGATTATACATCCCAAGATATAGGTTCAAATAGAAAACTAAGTCATATAATATTTTGACTTGTTGATTGATTTTTTCATTCAGTACCTCATACATGTTGATATGATCTTCATATAAATTTGTTTAAATTTAATCTCATCCAAGTTTATCATTAGTCCATTTCTATATAATTGTTATTATTAAAATACATAAAATATTATATGTGACCCAAAGGTCAACACAAGGAAAATATTGTAGATTCACTAACCAAAAGTTTGTTGAGAGAGCTTGTGTAACATTAATCAAAGGGAATAGGCTTAAAGCTTTTAAATTATGGTAACTATACCTAGTTGATTATAGATCCCAATATATAGGTTCAAATAGAAAAATTAAGTCATAATATTTTTTGTAGCACTAAAAAATTATTATTTCCTACTTATTTCTATGTTGAAATAAATATTCGTTATGGTTTGATAAAAGGTAAGCTGAACTTTTAATAATTTTTATATCTTGGTATACCAAGTAGAGTATAACATAATTTCTTAATGAAAGATCATCTATATAAGTAGAGAAAATTTCCATATCTATAAAAATTTTGATAAAAATTAAATTCTCTAAAGCACTCATAAATCTAATAGTTATTCGGGGTCAAAATAAATATAACAGTAAGAGCTATATGAAATATCTATATAAAGAACTATGTGAGTATTATTGTTTTAGTTTATATAAAAGTTTGAATAGTTTAAAACATCGCTTTTATTATTTAACTAAATAAATCTGATAATATTTCACTAAAAAATATTCAAAGTCAAAAGTTAATTATTCTAATATCAACATCTCTCAGCAAATCTTTAAGTTATTTTCAAGTTGGTAAGATAATTTTCATTCACCTGGAAGATTTAAAAATTCATATTAATAAATTATTTCAAATAAAATAAATAATTAAACCATCACTTCATCCCACTTTAAAAATTCATTTATTTTTACATTTCAAATTTTTTTTAAAAAAAATAATTTTTTTTATTTTTTTATTTATTTCAAATTATATTTATTTTATTTTTTAGTTAATTTTAATATGTTAATATTAAAAATAATTTTAAAAAATAAAAAATATATTATTTTAATATATTTTTCAATAAAAAAACAATCACTACATCACTCAACCTAAATAAACTATTTTCATGGGATGGCATGACCGAATAACACTGGCAACAGTTTTACTGCTAAATGAAAAAAATAAGAAAAAAGTCAAAAAACAACAGGTAATTATAACAAGTTCATACGGAGACAATTTTCAGTTCAAATACATCGACTAGGTCCAGAAACATAGCTTTCATCACAAGCAGCTACAATGAAATGCTGGGATTTTCAAAAAGAAAAGATGACATTAATTTATATCCAATTTCCCACCAGATCTACTAAAACAAAAAATTTCCACCAGAATTTAGCACATTACGCACTTCATGTTGGGTCCGTGAAGAAACTGCTGATGAATGACATAACTGTAGGTGGCGCTTCATTCAAACATGGTCATAATAACATTCTCTCTCAGCCAAGTTCCCTGTACTTCCATCAGCCCTGCTGGAACCCTGTTTCGAGAAATAAAATCTAAATGAATATTTTGCTTCAGCCAGAAAAATTGCCTCCCACAACTGCTATGACTGAAGTCATTGAAAACTTCAAAGCATCATTCAAGATTAGAAAATTCTTTCCTGAATCCAGTTTGTTTGTAGGGAAAAAAAAGCCTGCTGGAAGTCTAGAACCCATCTCTATTTTAGTATTTCTTTTCCTTAAGAGACAAATTGAAGATGGAAATTTTATTCTTGTACTGCATAAATCACATTGATGTCAGAGAAGAAAAGGACAAACTCAATCTCTTCGCAGCAGGTAATCTCTTTCTAGCATTGATCGATTTGAAACCAAGTTACACCCCCGTATCATATCATCCCACAGAAGCTAACATAGATGAATCAACATAAAGTTTCCTTTCAAGTCACAGTATACAATCCATGGAAAACTAATGACATGATCTAGCCAAATAAATCCCATAAAATTCACAATAACATCATATCCACAACCCCATCACCTTTCCAATCTCCATGAACCAAAATGAATAACACCCCTTGCTTGTCTAGCTTTTTTAACTGGTTTCTAAAGCATTGCCCCTTGCTACAGTGATAAACTGATTCATCATTTAACATCAAAGATCAAAAATTGAAAAATTAGAAAGAAAAGGCAAATGTGGTCAAAATTTATCTATAGCAATGCATGGTAGCATATTCATGTAGTGATAAAACAAGTATGCTAGCACAAAGAGATAAAGGGGAGGCAGAGACATGACCTAGTGGTTGGCATAGACATTGCCAACTAACTGTAAATCACATGTCACTGAAACAACATCAAGTCTTCAACAGTTGTGAATGGATGATACACCTGTGAGCAGAATGCATCAGCAAGATCTACCTGTACACAAACAAATATGAAGAAAAAGATTGAAGAATCAATCACAGAACAGAAATGCATCAATCCGGCATACATTAGTTGAGAGTGCATTTCTATGATACCACAAGAAAGTCGAATACCCTCATAGCTCCCATACAAGAAATTTCACAACCAAGACTATTTACAGCTTCCATCACCCTTTCTATTTCATTGCATGACATAATACACTCCATGGCATTGGATTTGGAGATGGGATCAAGTAATACACAATCCAACAGGACATTATCTGTGTCTACCATTTTGTGGAGAAAACCATAGCACTCCCACACAATCCTTCTAGACAAAAATACCCTCCAATTTCTCTTCTTCTCAACTGACACCAAATAAATTTTTACAATTTTGGAAGGAACAACAAAGTCTGGTAATGTTTTAGCATTGAGTAAATACAAAATCCGATGGTTCATAACTTTATTAACAGGAATGATGGCCAGATGAACTCTGCAATCCCAGAATCTCTTTTGCAAAACAGTTTGCCAGTTAGCAATAGCCCATCAAAACCCAATTGAGAGTAAAATTTTGAGGCACAAATCCGTCATGAACTTTCTCAATCAACAACTTCCCTGCCACAATTTTCTCATAAACATAAAGTTTTTGAATTTGGCAGATAATCCCCACTGATCATATTCTGAAGAAAGGCCAGCCCGTTTTCAATCTGTCTCACATCACGAAAATGTTGAATCACAAGACTATGCTTTTCAACTTTGAACACTACAACCATCATCCTTCATTCTTACCATAAACTTCATTGCCCACTCCATTTCACCCACATGACACAATCCCATAATCATCATAAGTTATTGAATTTGGCAGGTAACCTTCTATCATCTACTTTGAACCAATATAGCTTGGCAGGTAACCTTTTATCATCTACTTTGAACCAATATAGCTCCCTCAGCAATATTTTCACACAAAACATGAATCAGAGCATTTTAAATGCCAGAGCACTCCTTCCTTCACCATCTGATCCAACAACATCAAAGCCATGGATCGCAGTGTATAAGTAACAACATCTATATCAAAATCTCTCTTCTTCATTTCTGAAAGTAATTCCCAAGCTTCATAATCTGACCAGCTCTAAGTTGTACAACTTGTCAAATTTAGAGTCAAATTCACGTACCCTTTAAGCATTATATTACAACTTGTCAAATTTAGAGTCAAATTCAATCCTCTCCCAACCATCTCTTTTAGCATCTCCAGTGCTTTATTATCATAATCAAACACCATCTGATGCAGTGCATGATGAAGGATTTTAATTTTTTCATTGCATAATGCATAACCATCCATTCGCAATTACGTTATAACTAACACTATCAACCTCAAACCTATATCTAAAAACCTTAAATGAATTATAATCTATTTCATCTTACCTTGATTTACACACATCAAGGATTGTATTAAAAGGATGTGGGTCAAGAAAACAACTAAATCGATGCATATAAAAAAGAAGAATTAGACAGCTTAAAGGGTTCCCCTGATGCAGCATACCTTTCAGCAATGATTGCATAGGTTTATGGGGGAGAGGCCAAGGGAGGCACAGTGAGTGCAAGAAATAGGATCAGAGAACAGGGAAGTCGCAGAGGTGGGCAGAAATGCTGAATTTCTAATTCTGTTCTCTGGAAAAGAAGATGGATGGCATAACTTCAGGGCTGCTGTTGCAAACAAATTTCCTTAGGACATGTTCAGAATACTTCTCCCTCTTCAATGTTATCCAAAACTGCAGAAGCACTCCTCTGTTTGGTCAATTTGTTTAAGAGATCAAAAACAAAATAAACATGGTATCGACCAGAAAAATCACCTCCAAAACTGCTGCTTTCCAATTCATTGAACACTTTCTTCGAAGCATAAACCAAACAAGACAGGAGAATTCTTTTCCAAATCCAAGTCCTTTTAAAATAAAAAACGAAGTTGAAACAAAAACCATTGGGGACCAACTCTTTCTTATTGTTTCCTATCAATAAAAGATATGAATTGAAGATGTAAAATCAATACTTTCACGGCATCAATCACATTGGTGTAATAGGAAAATAAGACAAGATCTGTCTCTCCTTAGGAGTTAAGGCCTTTCCGGCACGCAAGGTGGAAATTAACAAGAGGTCCTCTCCCTCTCTTTTTTACCTGCTGATTGATAGATTTGGATCCAAGTTTCAACGTATTCTAACAAACCATGGAAGCTAACATAATTAAAGTCAACATGAAGTTTCTCTTTAAGTCAAAATATACAAACATAGGAAAAAAGACAGCATCATACAGTTACATGAATCCAAGGAAATTCTCATCAGTAAAATAATGAACAAAATTTGTATGCAAACCACCATTTGTTATTTGTCACCCACAATGAATATATACTACCTAGCTTGTCCAGCACTTTAACTGAATACAGTTTCTAAAACACTCTCATGCCAAGATAACAACAAATTAAGCTGTCAATTATTATCAAAGACGAGTTTAACTGGCATAGGACCTTTGATTGACCATGGAGTGTCTTTTCATTCCAAGAACTGGGTTTGAAGTGTAAAAAGCTCCTTCTCATGTTGCATTTGTTTGGTTTGGAAGTTTCGGTATGTTGTCTGTGGGTTTCTAACCCCCATATGCCATTTGATTAATTAAGTTCTGTGCTGCTTGCCACTCCCTGAGGCCAAGGACAGGGTTGAACCATCATTCCAGGATTTGCAGAACTTCAGTGGAAGTCAACAGAGCATTACCTACATCCATACATTTATAAGTAATCTAACCATACACAAACAAATATACCGGAACAACATCAAATAGCAGTCAAGAAAAAGAATGAATCAATCTGGCCAACAATAAAAGAGAGCGGATCCTTACAATAAAACAAAAAATAGATTACCTACTTATCTCCCATAGAAGAAATATCACATTCAAGATTAGGTACTACAGCTTTCATCATCCTCTCTAATTCATTGCATGACACAATCCACTCCCCGGCATTTAATTTGGAGATGGGATCAAATGATACATGACCAAACTGAGCATATTATCCCTGTCCACCTTTTGATGGGAGACAGATATACACACAAATCTGTTCAAAACACTGAGTTGAAAATAAATGAAAAGTCCCATCCTTCACCATTTTCACAAATAATGAATCAGTTTCCTTCGTCTCATATGGCACCAAACAAACAATAATTATTTACAATTTTCGAAGTCGACATGTTGAAGTCTAGTAATTTATTGGCCAATTAAAAGTTTGATGAGCTTCACAACTTTATTTTAGGGGTAAGCCGGCCACATCTACTCTGCAATCTCAGAATCTACTTTGCAAAACCTTGATTACCTGTTAACAATTTTCGAAGTCAACATGTTGAAGTCTAGTAATTTATTGGCCAATTAAAAGTTTGATGAGCTTCACAACTTTATTTTACGGGTAAGACGGCCACATCTACTCTGCAATCTCAGAATCTCCTTTGCAAAACCTTGATTACCTGTTAACAATAGCCCATTCAAAACCCGATTGAAAGTGAATTTCCGAGGAACAAATCCTCTATCAACCATCTCAATCAACAAGTTTCCAGCCACCAATAAATCATCTGATTTTTTCCTAACAAACATTGCACTTATCAATATATTGTAAGTGTCCAAATTCGGCAAGCAATCCCCACTAGTCATCTTCTGAAACAAGTCCAGCGCTTTGTCAATCTCTCCTTCATCACAAAAGTACCGAATCACAAGATTGTATGTTTGAACATTTGGCTCACAACCATCATCCTTCATTCTTCCCATAAATTCCATTGCCCGCTCCATTTCACCTCTATGACACAGCCCTCTAATAACCAAATTATAAGTTATTGAATTTGGCACATAACCCTTCACCACCATCTCCTCAAAAATGACTATAGCATTATCCACGCTGTCTTTCTTACACAAAACCTGAATGAAGGCATTATAAGTAGCAACGGAAGGAAGCACTCCTTTCTTCACCATCGTATCAAAAACCTTTCGAGCTCGCTTAATCTCACCAGCAACACCAAAACCATGAATCACAGTAGTATAAGTAATGACATCAATTTCACAGTCTCTCTTCTTCATTTCCAAAAAGAAATCCCAAGCTTCATTAATCTGACCAGCTCTAAAATACCCTTTAAGCATTGTATTATAACTAGTCAAATTCGGAGTCAATCCTCTCTTAACCATCTCCTTCAACATCTCCAAAGCTTTATTAGTCCTCTTAATCAAACACCAACCATTCACCAACACATTATAACTAACACAATCAGCCCTAAACTTTCCCTTGAAAACCTTAAACAGATTATAAGCCATTTCCACGCGTTTGGACTTGCATAACACATCAAGGATTGTATTAAAAGATTGCAAGTCTTGAAAACAACCAAATTGATGCATAGACAAGAAAACTTTAACTGCTCTATGGGGTTTACCCGCAGAGGCATACCTTTCAGCAATGATTGCAAAGGTTTTAGGGGTAGGGCCAAGGCGCGCGGAGCGCATACGATAAATTAGGGACCGGAGAGAAGGGGAGTCGCGGAGGCGGGCGGAAATGTCAATGGCGTGGTCGAAGGAGGAGGGGTGGTGGGAGTAGGAAGGATGGTGGGAAAGGAGGTTGAAGAATTGGAGGGCTTTAGGGCCATCGTTCCAAAGGCGTTTAAGGATTGTGTTGACCAATTGTGGGGTCCATTGGATGGTGGGGGAGTGAAGGGTTTGGGCTAATGCTTGTGGGTTTGATGACGTGAGGATTAGGGTGGCTAGAGCGGCGGCTTCAAGTGATTGTTGAGGTGGTGGTGGAATGGGGGTGGCGGTGGTGAAGGGGTAGGATTTCGGTGGACGAAGATAGAGTAAAAGGGAGGGGTTAGTTCTTTGAGGGAGCATTTTTTGAGTCTGCATGCTCGTGCTTTAATTCAGTGCAGTGACCTATTTATGTGTTCTTGATGAGCAGACTGTGGTGGCAGTGACACAGCTTGATTTCAGTTGAATGTGGCTGTATAACGTGTTTGTAGCCTTCAGTAATATGACTTGGGCAGGCCGATGAGTGTAAATTTTTTACGGTCTGTTATTGTTGTTTTTGGGTTAAAATAATTTTATTTATTTATTTTTTAAAAATAATTTTTAATATTAGTATATAAAAATTAATTTTTTAAAAATATTTTTAAAATAAAAAAATAAACAAACTCTTCCTCTTTTAAAAATATTAAGATACAAATATGGTGATATATGCTAATGTGTTTTTTAGTAAATATCAAAAATAAAAATTAATTATTAACTCCAAAATTGATGTATATTGAATGTTTTTTTTTTAAAATTTTAAATGGTAATATATTAGAATTTTAAAAAAAATATTGAGACAACAACATATTAAATTGATTCGAGTTAATTCGGATTAATTTGTTAAATTTATGATTTAGTTAATAATATTAAGATAAGTCTATAAAAAGTAAAGTGAAATAAATTATAAAATTTAATTTTCAATCACCTCAATGTTAAGGAATGAAATTAAAAAGAAAAAAAGAGACTACTGTTAACTAGGTTAATTTATCAAACCTACAATTTGGATTCCAAAATTAAAATAACTTTATAGAAAATAAATTACAAAAATTACATTTAAAAAAATATTGAGACAACAACATATTAAATTGATGCGAATTAATTCGGATTAATTTGTCAAATTTATGATTTGGTTAATAATATTAAGAGAAGTATATAAAAAATAAATTGAAATAAATTATAAAATTTAATTTTTAATCACCTCAATGTTAAGGAGTGAAATTAAAAAGAAAAAAAGAGACTCCTGTCAACTAGGTTAATTTATCAAACCTACAATTTGGATTCCAAAATTAAAATAACTTTATAGAAAATAAATTACAAAAATTACAAAAACTAATTTTCAATCAACAAGATGTTATATGATGAAATTGAAAATAAATCATTTAAAAAATAAAAAAATAACTTGATTTAATTCAAATTAACATATTAAATCCACAATTTAAATCATGAAATCAAAATAACTCTATAAAAATAAATTAATAAATATTATAAAACTTAATTTTCAACAAATTCAATGAAATTTAAGAGAAAAATTCATGATTCCATAGAAAATAAATTGATAATTTTATTTTAAAAAAAATCCAAATCATGACGATGCATAAAAAAGTGTTTGATAAATTTTTTTTAAAAATGTCATAATGATATAAAAATCTAAATATAAATCCAATAATATTTAATAAATTGATTTTTTTATATATGCTTAAGTTATTTAATTTAATTAAAAATAAAAAAAATAAAAGGCTAAGTAAACAGTGGCCTAGCGCACATGGATTGAAAAAAAAAAAAAGGCTAAGCTCATGAGCATCATGCCTGAAGCGCATGGCCTTTTTATTATTGGTAAAAATAAGGGACAATATCCAAAAAACATTTTGAAAAAAAATGCTTGATGATGCGCCCAATTTGACTTTTTTATTATTGGTAAAAATAATGGACAATATCCAAAAAAAAATTTGAAAAAAAATGCTTGATGATGCGCCCAATTTCCGATCATCGGAAATGTAATTGGGAAATTTGGTTGGGATTTGTTGGAATTAAAAAATTATTTTGTAATATATTTTCATCTAAAAAATCTATTAAATATTCTTATAATATTAATAGACCAATAAATCATCTTAAAATATCAAAAACATCGTATAAATTACAAAACCAAATAAAAAAATTATTTCTTAAATCTCAATTTATTTTTTTAATAAAATCTATTTTTTCCAATAAGATGAATGATAGAATACTTTAAATAATTTTTTCTCTGGAACCGTTAATATAAAGTATGATTTGTTTTTTTGGCTGAAATGTGGCCAACTAAATACCTTTTTTTTATATAGGACTTTATTTTGCTTCTTTTAAACTCAGAAACTGAAAAATAAATAAAATAAAATTTTAGATCAGAACTACAAGCTAAGAAACTGAAAAAACCATAAAGGAAAAAAAATAAAATACAAGGACTAAATAAGAACTTTTTTCATAAAAATTTTAGACCGGTCTATGCTTTGGTCCTAAATGTTTTAATTGTTTTTTTCTATAACAAATCCTAAGAAATTGATCGTCAATTCAGCCATAAAAAATACAATCAAATATGAAAAAAATTCTATAAACAAAATGATAAAAAAAAAAATAATACAATTAAACTGCTCCAATCTACAAGAATTTATCAGAGAGCATGCCCAGTACAAAATGCTGCTGAAGTATTTTCCCAACATCGTTTAAATTTCTGGTTTTCTTTTTTAATTGTTAATAATATTAACGTTAATTTTAACAATAATGGCTGATTAAATGTAACTTCCAGTTATCTCCACGATAAGTGGCATATCTTCATAGATTATTTTGGTGTTTATTATCTTTAAAGATCAATTTGGTCTCATAAATAGAGCAGAATGGGTTATGATAAATAAATAAACAAACTGGCATCAATTTACAAGTTACATAGCTCCTCCTTGGCCTTTCAGCATCCTCACATAAAAATATTATTGTCCCAGATCATGAAACTCCTATTACTGTTCTCTACCAGGATGAATCAAAACTGTCCAGCAATGAAGCTTCACCTGTACTTTCCAGTTCTCTCACCAATTCCTATCATGCAGAAATCCAGAAAACATAAATTATAGATCATGTGCTGGTTTTCACCTATCAACTTGATCATATACACACTACTCTCCAAAGAATTCTTCTTGAACCAGATGGTCAATTGCAGCAACTGATACTGCCCATTCCTCCTCTAGCATTATTACTAGGAGACAGTTAGCTTCTTGATCAATCTACACTTTACGAGCACGGTCACGCCAAGAACCTTGCTGCTTTGCAAGTACCTGAAACCATGAGAAGAATTGCTTAGATTTTGCTCTCCAAATCTCTCTCTTTTTCTCAAGAATGAACCCACCTTCTCACTTAGAAGGCTAGAAGCATGGTCGGTGTCTTTGCTCTCGTTTCTATTGTTGTCCATCTCTATCTCATTGTTTGAAGTAACAGATGCCAAAAGTGGTGGTGCACCAAACATGGCCTCATCATGAGCAACTTTGATTTGCTCTTCCCTTCTTGCCTTTATATATTGTCATTATAAAAGTTACATAAGAAGCTACAGAACATGTTCATGCTTAAGAGAGAATGACAAGGAAGAAAAACACGGATTATAGGAACCAACACCTATGATCATTAAATACAAGAAAAACTGAGATTGAAACAGCAGCAGATTCCTACCTCCACTGCAGAGAAACGGAAACTCTGGCCTAAGTGCTTGACTAGTGCTGCATCATCTTCCACAGCTAAACACACACAAAGAAACATCTTTATATCAGTTTTAATTATTCTGACCAGGTCCATGGATATCCTGTGTTATAATCTAAGAGTATTCATCTGTCTAGAAAATTTATAACCAATAAAAATGATTTAACTTTAAAATATCAATTTATATTTAGCTGATTTGTGATCATCTCATTTCTCCAACACTATCACCCATAATTGCAGAGTATGTACTTGTAAACAATATTACAAGAACATTAGCATTACAAGTAAATAGACAATCATGGGAATTAATTTTATTTCAGGTATGGTTTCAAACTAATACAGAGGTATTCGCAAGTATGATAGTTTGGAATTTATTATTTTTATGTATGCCAATTGAAAGGCATGCTTAATGAGTGTATGCAACATAATGGGAATATCTTGTTTCATTATTTCATAAAGTTCCCCCTTTCGTTTCTTAACCTAACAGTTTTCTGAAAATGAAGTGCACATCTTCTTTCACAGCCAAGAAAAGAAAAGCCACAGGAATTCAGGAACACAAGATGATAGCAGCAGCAATGAAATGAAATTAGAACAGCAAGCATTTTAGTATCCAAAAAATCTCAACTCATCAGCCAATGGCCGAATAGTGCAAGCAACAAGAGCTGACCACATACAAACAATGTCATCCTGTAACTTGGGAATAAAATGTTGATAAATATATCTAACCTTCAACTTCCTCATCATCAAGCGGGGCATCCTTGTTGAACACAAACCGCTCCCAACCAGAGCCCATTCCCTCATCCTTTTTAGCTGCATAAAAATGCAACTGAATATTATATGAAAAATATTTATGAGCATCTATAAAAAGGGTAATATACATAATTTAAAATATCAATACCACCAAGGAAGGGCGGGAGTTTATCTGGTGAGAAACACAGCAGTATATCTTCCAACCAGTATGTTCACATGCTTAATAAACCATTGTTTTAACACTAATCTGGATACGAAATTGCATTAAGGTTGATATTTACAAAAGTCTAGTAGCAACATTCACAAAAGATGGATCAATTATTAATAATGTACACTAACGACCAGCCCAACTCCTATAAACAAACTGTATTATAATACCTCTACATAAAAGCTTACATTTCTATATAAAACTCATATTGATACATTATTACGAATTACTAAAAGTATTGCTGGAGGAAAATATTTAGGGTCTATTTAGAAGTGTGGTAGAGGTTGCTTTTCAAAATTCTTTTCATTTGGAAAGGAATTAATATAATGTTTTTTCATTTTTAAAAATTCACTTTTGAAATCGGTACGTTAAAACAATCCAAAAAAATAATAATTTGAAGCTAAAAAGAATTTCAAAAATTTTCAAAAGCATGGCTGGATGGCAATGCTAAACAAGACCTTATACTGCAAAAGTAGACAAATGCAAATGCTAGAAGTAGAACTAAATAGAGTGCATGGTAAAATCAAAACACTGGAGTGCAATGAGAAACATGTTAACTAACACTCTTAACCAAAACTGACCAATAACAGTTTCCTATAAAATCAAGCATGACTGAAAGAATATGATCTCCCTTTGTTATCAAATTAAAAGCCAGTGTATTTTTAAAAAATTAAGTGTGTCTTCCCAATAGCAAAACTAACTTTTCACTCTCATTTATAATAGTTTTATAACTACACAAGCCCCTTCCAACCTGAAAC